ACATAAGCTTATTACGAATGACAGGGTTTATAGACATAAGTTTATTACAAATGACAAGGTTTACAGACATAAGCTTATTACGAATGACAAGGTTTATAGACATAAGTTTATTACAAATGACAAGGTTTACAGACATAAGCTTATTACGAATGACAAGGTTTACAGATATAAGTTTATTACGAATGACAAGGTTTATAGACATAAGTTTATTACGAATGACAAGGTTTATAGACATAAGTTTATTACGAATGACAAGGTTTATAGACATAAGTTTATTACGAATGACAGGGTTTACAGACATAAGCTTATTACGAATGACAAGGTTTATAAACATAAGCTTATTACGAATGACAAGGTTAAAAAAGTTTGTGAGTTTTATCAGTAATCTTTTCCTTTGTTTTAAGGGATTAGTGAATATTGACATTGAAACTGAATATGATTTAAATTAGTTTTCAAAACCAAAGTATTTCTAACTTTATAAATGAAGTATCATGAGCCTTTTGTTGACAATCAATTGTCGTCTAAATCATTTATTCAAGATTTGAGAAATTACAACCATTTCATGGGTTTTGCTGTCTACTGTGCATCAATTAAATAAAATGTGACAAGTAAAATGAAATTTTGATAATTTTACTTTTACTCTTGTTCTGACGGAAAAAAGAAAGAAAAATCCACTAGCAAAAAAAAATAACTTGGTCAAAAATGATATATATTTTATAAATGGTGAATACAAGGTACAGTTACTATTCAGGCAAATTATAAACGTATACATCAGACAACCAGCAGTCTTTCCTCACTGTGAACGTAGCAACATATACAGCAGACAACCAGCAGTCTTTCCTCACTGTGAACGTAGCAGCATATACAGCAAACAACCAGCAGTCTTTCCTCACTGTGAACTTAGCAACATATACAACAGACAACCAGCAGTCTTTCCTCGCTGTGAACGTAGCAACATATACAGTAGACAACCAGCAGTCTTTCCTCACTGTGAACGTAGCAACATATACAGCAGACAACCAGCAGTCTTTCCTCACTGTGAATGTAGCAACATATACAGCAGACAACCAGCAGTCTTTCCTCACCGTGAACGTAGCAACATATACAGCAGACAACCAGCAGTCTTTCCTCACTGTGAACCTGTTGAGATTTATTTATTCTCCTATCATTGCATTTACCTAACAGTGTGTAAAAAAAGTAATAATTCAGTTCCAATTAAAGTAACTGATATATGATAATCAGTGTGTAAAAAAATAATAATAATTCAGTTCCAATTAAAGTAACTGATATATGATAATCAGTGTGTAAAAAATAATAATAATTCAGTTCCAATTAAAGTAACTGATATATGATAATCCGTGTGTAAAAAAATAATAACAGTTCAGTTCTAATGAAAGTAACTGATATATGATAATCAGTGTGTAAAAATAATAATAATAATTCAGACCCAATGAATGTAACACAAGAAGTAAGAAACCAATGTATTAATGACGTGATTTATTTGCTGTGACCGTACAAGTCAAACAGGTTAAGGTTATTGAAACATAAGGGTTACTGTTGAAAAAACCTCTAAGACTGAACTTGTATATATTATCACAAACACCGGTAACGTTATAGTAATACTTTATTTTATGGATATTTTTTAGTTCAATATGGTTCGTTATTATAACTTTTTGAAACTATATAAATTTCTGTTTTCAAAAGTAATAAATAGTAAGTTTTATTATTTAAAAATAAATTTTTTTCTCTATATCAGTAGAAAATAAATTTCATTTCCCGTAAACAAGATTCGTGAGATTTAACGAGCTTTTTTAATATGAACATGTATCGAACACTTATATCTTCAGTTAACTGTTCGAAGGGTTCTCATCTGCATTTATTTCGATGTGAAGTTTGTCAAAATTGAAGTTCTTGTCTTTTCTAACTGTCAGGCTGTAAACCCAGGTTGCGCGTCTACTTCGTTTATTCTCAACCTAATGTTTGTAAGTCAACTCGTCTTGTAATAGCTCCTGCTATTTTCAGCCTGTTCTGGCTTCTAGTTACGTAGTTGTCGGAAGAAGACGTACCTATCCCTGCCAAAAGCTGTCCACGTATTAAGTTTCCCTAGTGCCATAGCATTCCTTGTGTTTTTGGCTAACTCTTCCTTGCTCTGGCTGACTCATGGGCTTGCTAATTTTAACACACAAACTTTCTTATTCCTTTTTAGGACAAGAAAATTTCTGGTACGTTCGTTCAGAAAAGGCGTAATAGAACCCTATTTTAGTCAAAGTAAATAGCTTTTGCTATGTTTGTTAATTTTTTTTAAGTAAAGGTTAATAGGATAGTCTTTGCTCTTTGTATTGTACGATA